GCAAACACTTGTTAATCCTTGCCCCCTTCCCCAGTCTTTCAACTTCGTAACAAAGAACAAGTTTCAGACTCAAAGTAGTAGACAGCAAATAGCATATAACTGAAATTGAATAATATATACATATATTTACATATTGTTTTATAGTTGTATTCTGTTCATGGTCAGAGGCAGGAATTTTCCACTATGGTTGTCTTTTAAAATACATTGATTTCGGGCTTCCCTGGTGGCGCAGTGGTTGAGAGCCCGCCTGCCGATGCAGGGGACGCGGGTTCGTGCCCCGGTCCGGGAAGATCCCACGTGCTGCGGAGCGGCTGGGCCCGTGAGCCATGGCCGCTGGGCCTGCGCGTCTGGAGCCTGTGCTCAGCAACGGGAGAGGCCACAGCAGTGAGAGGCCCGCGTACCAGAAAAAAAAAAAAAAAAAAAAAAATACATTGATTTCATTTTTTTTTTTTTCTTTTTAGGCTGAGCAGCCCTGCTTGCAGGATCTTAGTTCCCCAACCTGGGATCGAACCTGGGCCCACAGCAGTGAAAGTGCAGAGTCCTAACCACTGGACTGCCAGGGAATTCCCCTAAAGAATATATATTTTTTTAAATATTAAGTAAACAATAGTATAGATTGCACCCTGATACAGAAAAAATCATAAAAGTGGAACTCAAATAACTAACTGAAGTTTGAACAATACTGAATAAAATAAGCAATGTCATAAACCAGTAAATGGCAAAATGGCACTATTGTTATATTTTATACTTCTATATAAATTATAGATCTATATATGTTATATAAATATATAAATTATATATTATAGCATTAATATAACACTACTTATATATAATTGTATATATAAAATGTAATATAATTAATATTTATTATTATTACATCAAACTGTATTTAATATTAACTGCTGTAGGAATTTGGAGGGAGTAATATTATTCTGGAATGTGGCAATCTGGGAAAGTTTCTTGGAAGAGGTATAACAAGATTTGACCTTGAAAGAAAGGATCGCTAAGTTTTCAGTTGGTATATTATCAACTAAATATGTTGGGTAACTCATGGTTCCAAAATTGAACAGCTTAAAACAGCAAACATTTATTACCTCATAGAGTTTCTTAGGGTCAGGAATCTGGGAGCAGCTTAGGTGGTAGTCCGATTCAAGATCTCTCACAAAGCTGCAGTCAGGTCATCTAAACTTTAGATTCTAAAGACTTGACTGGGACTGGAGCTTCTAAAGTTCAAGAAAAAGCTTGTTTATAATGCTGTTGGCTGGAGGCCTCAGTACCTCACCATGTGGATATCTCTATAAGGTTACTCATGACAAAGGCTGGCTTCCTTCCTCTGGAACAAGTGATCCAAGAGAGTGGGAGTTATCAAGATGGAAGTCTCTTATCGAATCTTGAAAGTGACATACCATTACTTCTGTCATATCCTGTTGACCATAATGCTGGAGCAATGTGGGAAGGGCACCAATATTAGAAGGTAGGGGTCACTGGGTGCCATCTTAGAGGCTACTTCCCACAGTTGGCACAGAAGAATGTGCCTCTCAATCCTCATAGCCATCAGCATTAGCTGGGGAATTTCAAATACCCCAGATGTCCAGGCCCCTCCTCTGATAAATTGAATCAGAATCTCTAGGGGCAAAGCTCTGCAGTAATATATTTTTTCAAAGTTCTACCAGCAAGTTTGATGCATGATTAAAATTGGGAACCACTGGACACAAGAGGAGTGAGAAACTAGGAACGTAAAAGTGAGAGTGGCCCTTTGATTATTACCTAGTTACATGGATAATGTACCATAAGAAATATGCGAGATTTCGCTCTCTTGGCTTGAGACAAGGGTGGAAATAAGGCCAGAAAAAACTAAAGAAGTTGGAGAAAGGTTAAGATTCAGGAGTGGACACATGTATTAAATGGTGGGTATGGGTTTGATGTTTGAAAGAACATTATTTGTCAGTGGCTCTTGTTTGTGTGGTCCCTGGTGACCCCCAACTGGAAACAGATTCAAAATCAGTGATTCTTCCACAGGAATTTGCTCAGTTCAGGAGGCTTTGGAGAAGAAGACTATTCTGGAACAAAAAGTAACTGTTGGGAGTAAAAGGCCTGGAGTTCCTATATCTGTAAGGAAGGGTCTGGTACTTCTCTGGGGTCCCTGATGCCCTGACTTGGCCTGGTAGTCCTTCTCTCTGACCTCTCTGAGAGGTTTCAGCAAAGAAGTAAAATGACACTTCCACACAGAGCACCATGCCCGTTGTCCTTTTGAAGTCCAGGATCAGGGGTCAAAATGAGTCACAGCTGGGCTTCCCTGGTGGCGCAGTGGTTGAGGGTCCGCCTGCCGATGCAGGGGACACGGGTTCGTGCCCTGGTCCGGGAAGATCCCACATGCCGCGGAGCGGCTGGGCCCGTGAGCCATGGCCGCTGAGCCTGCGCGTCCGGAGCCTGTGCTCTGCAACGGGAGAGGCCACAACAGTGAGAGGCCCGCGTACCGCAAAAAAAAAAAAAAAAAGAGTCACAGCTGATCACCCAAAACCTACAGCTTTCTGCAGCTACTAAGAATTTGAAACATATAAGAATGAAATCCAAAGCCATTATACTGTCATATAAGGTCCTACACATTCTGGAAGGCCCCATTCCCAGCACCGTTTCCCACCTCCAGCTATTTTGCCACTTCAGTCCCAGTCACATTGGCCACCTGCTGTCCCTTGTCTAACACCAGGTATTTCCCCCTTACCCAACATATACATTCGGGGTCTCTTGTTCCTGCTTCCTTCTGCCTAGAAGTATCTTCCCCCAGTGGCCCACTCCCTCGTCTCTTCATCTTTGTTAAAATTTCACCTTCTTGATGAGCATTCTGTGATTATGTTATTTAAAATGGAAGATAAAAAACCCATTCTTTATCTTCCTTTTCTGCTTTGTTTTCCTCCCAAATGTTTAATGTTCATTATCTTCTGACACTCTTTTTTTGTTGTTGTTTTTGTTATGTGCGTGTCTGTTCCCACATTAGAAAATAAACTCTATCTGTGCATGACTTCCTTTCTGTTTAGTTCATTGATGTATTTCTGGCACCTAGAAGAGTTTGTGGGACATAATATGTGCTCAACAAATATTTATTGAAAGAAAAAATGAACTAGAAAACACTGTACGGGCTGAACTTTGAGATTCAGTTTGATAAATGAAGATGACCTTAAGCCTTTCAAATGCCAAATCGATGTATAAGATTCCTTTTTAATATATACAAAATATGTGCATAATAATTCTTAGACATTCACAAAGCAGTCTCACTGATCCTCACAATAGTCATGTGACTAGGAATTGCTGTTATGCCCAGTTTACTGATAGGGAAACTGTGTTTCAGAGAAGCCAAAATCTTGGCCTCATAAAGTAAGTGGCAAATGTTTTAGGAATTGGTCTCCTAATTTCAAGTGTAGGTCCCATGGGCCAATCATAACAGTGGACACAGGTAATGTTGATTAAAAATGAATTATAAGGGAATTCTCTGGTGGTCCAGTGGTTAAGACTCTGTGCTTCCAATGCAGTGGTCGGATATCTAGATCCCACAGGCCATGGCACGCACCCCCCCAAAAAAATTGTAAAATAAAATGCTAAATACCTAAAGAATACTCTAGAAATAAATCACATTTCCTAGGTCTAATGGAGATAAAGGCATAAAGATATAGGAAAGACTGGGAGGTCCTGGTTTGCATATAGACAGGGTGTATGTGTGTGGGAGAGGTTGAAATAAAAAGGAAAAAAACTCTGGAGAAACTTCAAGAAGGTAAAACAATGCAAGTTGGAATAATCAGAGAGGCGATTAGATTTGAGATTGGCTTTGCAGGACAGACAGGATTTAGATGGTAGAGGAACTGGGGCTTAACAGAAACAGAATGGAGAACAGCTATATGGTACATTTCAGGAAATAACTGTATCTTTCTAGGCCTAATATTAGTCATGTCTTCACTACATCAATAACAATTCTAATTTCATATTCAATGTTAATTGATGTAGTAAAGAAATGAACTAATATTAAACTCCATAAATATTCTGCATGTTTCTAGTGACCTTTTTGAGGCTACAGGGAAGGCAATCACTGGCTTTTGTCTACAGTTTTGGCTTAACTCTCCTTTGTTCCTGAGCTCATAAGTTCAGCCCCAATTTTGTGCTTTCTATTCCCAGAAGCCCAAGGCCTCCTGTCCTTTAATGGGAAAAGATTGAATAATATCTAGAAAAACAGTAAAGATGTTGGGTTTTACCATCTTAATATCTGATAGTCTGTAGCATGCTTGGGACTTATATTTCCACACTGATTCTTGAGAATGCCTAATTAGCTCTGAAATACGGGCCTAAACACCAGGAGATTGTGCTTCCCCCTTGGAGAAAGATGCCATCCTTCAGGTCTCAAAGATTGCCTTTTCATTTAGAGTTTCTCCTTTATTACAAGGGGGAAAAACGTAAAGAGGAAACAGAGTGAGATGAAATGTGGAGCTGACTCAGAAAAGAAACTGATACTCTAAATTCTTTTTCCCAATTAAAAAATTTGACCATGTAAAAATAATAGTGAACAGAAATGCCATTCCCAAAAGGGGTGAAACATTAAAACTTAAGAATGCAGCAGCATCAAATTACATGAAAAATCTAAAGGGGACACTACCTGCTTGGTTTCCTTTAATTCATTGTTTGGGGTGATATTTATAAAGCATGGTGAGGGTCAGGGCATGGAATGGCAAGTGTACGACTGCTGAAAAATGATGTAAGATAAGTAAACGTTCAGTTAAAGAGCATTTGAAATTTGCTAGCCACTAACTTAAAGATGATCCTCAGAGTAAAGCTGAGCTGGACGGTAAGTGAAATAAGCACAATAAAATTCGTTTTGGGTGATGGCTGTAACATGTACAGCTTGTTATCAAGATCATCTTGTTTGAAATGCCACAAACCCAAAATCTAATTTGTTGCACAAATTAAGCAGCACTTACTAAAGGCTTCAGATTAATATTGCTTTTGTCTACCTCTAAAGCTGTTTAAACTAAGTGCCAGTTCTCTATGGAAAGCGTGGATGGCTCTGAAAAGAGCCTTTGGATATGACGGAACCTTATCAACTGCTTTGCAGCCAGTGGCTCACTTGGAGCTGGTGTACTTGGTGACAGCCTTGGTGCCCTCAGACACGGCGTGCTTGGCCAGCTCGCCGGGCAGCAGCAAGCGCACGGCCGTCTGGATCTCCCTGGAGGTGACAGTCGAGCGCTTGTTGTAATGCGCCAGGCGCGACGCCTCGCCCGCGATGCGCTCGAAGATGTCGTTAACGAACGAGTTCATGATGCCCATGGCCTTGGACGAGATGCCGGTGTCCGGGTGGACCTGCTTCAGCACTTTGTACACGTATACGGAGTAGCTCTCCTTGCGGCTGCGCTTGCGCTTCTTGCCGTCTTTCTTCTGAGCCTTGGTCACCGCCTTCTTGGAGCCTTTCTTCGGGGCAGGAGCGGACTTGGCAAGCTCAGGCATGGTGAAGTGGCGTTAACAAAATCCTCGAGAAACAAAGAGTGAGCAATGGGCGAGGCGAGTCCGTTTCACTTACAACTGCATATTCAAATGACACTTAGTAAAGTTCTATGTCTGATTGGCGAACACTGCTAATGACGTCATTATCAACTTTGTCCAATCAGAACGCGCATTTAAAGGACCGACACGTCTCTTTTAAAACGGAATTACTACTTTACCCAATGGAATAGCTTCTTTTTCGCGCCCAGCTGCAGCTATAAAATGTGCGATTTTCTTCTTTCACCTTAGTTGCTTCTGGTGTAGGCTTTAAAATACTGCATTATGTCTGGACGTGGCAAGCAAGGCGGCAAAGTTCGCGCCAAGGCCAAGACTCGCTCTTCTCGCGCCGGGCTCCAGTTTCCCGTGGGCCGAGTGCACCGCCTGCTCCGCAAGGGCAACTACGCTGAGCGTGTCGGGGCCGGCGCACCGGTGTACTTGGCGGCGGTGTTGGAGTACCTGACGGCCGAGATCCTGGAGCTGGCGGGCAACGCGGCCCGCGACAACAAGAAGACGCGCATCATCCCGCGCCACCTGCAGCTGGCCATCCGCAACGACGAGGAGCTCAACAAGCTGCTGGGCAAAGTCACCATCGCTCAGGGCGGCGTCCTGCCCAACATCCAGGCGGTGCTGCTGCCCAAGAAGACCGAGAGCCACCACAAGGCCAAGGGCAAGTAAGGCCTCAAGAGCAACGCCTTCGAAACCAAAGGCTCTTTTCAGAGCCACCTACTTTTTCTGCGGAGGAGCTGGGACAGTAGTTTCATTTAATTCCATTGTCATTATTGCCTGGGGAAAAGAAATTACTTCATGTAATTAATTTGGCAAGCAGTTTGAGCCACTTTTCGGACTCCTAGTCATGTCCTCGGAATGTCAGGAGGAAGATATCAAGAGCTTTGGTAAGGGAGTGCAGTGTTAAGATGCAAAATCAAAGTATCTTTTAAGGGCCCCTGAGGACAATCAAAACACTTTCTCGGCTTATTTGCAGTATAACTCGACCTCTGCCAGTGCTGAAGTTATGCTCTGTGCCTTGATTCCTGCAATATCAAATTAAAAATAGATGTGTGCAGTGAATTAGGTGGCGCATAAACCGGAATAAAAACGTCTTACCATTTGAACAGAAACAGTTGACCTATCTGAACGTGACGCGGGCTTTTTAACTTTAAAAAGTTCTTTGTAGCTAAACATCCAGGAACCAAAATGTCTTAAAAAACCCGTGGACAATTTTGCAGGTTCCTGGATGCAGGTCAAATTTTCTTTGTTGTGTTTTAAAAAGAGTATGTTTTTCACTGAGTTCCAAGCAGGAGGAAAGGTGAAAACATTTACTGGAAGTAGAGGGCAAGCAATTGTTTCTTGGCGGGCGGCTGAGAATAATATGTTACTCAATGCACAGCTGTTTTCAGAGATCTCTGGGTGGCTCTGAAAAGAGCCTTTGGGGTTTGCGTCTTAAGCGCCAACTTCCTACTTCTTTTTGGGAGCCGCCTTCTTCGCCTTTGTAGCTTTGGGTTTTGCTGCCTTAGGCTTGGCAGCTTTGGGTTTCGCCGCTTTTGGCTTCACTGCCTTAGGCTTAGCGGGGCTTTTGGCAGCCTTCTTCGGCTTTGCCGCGGCTTTGGTTTTCTTGGGACTCTTGGCCACCTTTTTGACGCCAGCGGCTGCGGGCTTCTTCGCCTTCTTGGGAGTCTTCTTCACTGCTTTCTTTGCTCCCGCAGCCTTCTTGGGCTTCTTAGGGGTGGCCCCTGCGGGTTTTTTCGCTTTAGCAGCCCCCGCTTTCTTGGCCTTCGGCTTGGCTTCCCCGGTGGGCGCCTTCCTATTGAGCTTAAAGGAGCCGGAAGCACCCGTGCCCTTGGTCTGCACAAGGGTACCCTTGCTCACCAGGCTCTTGAGACCCAGCTTGATTCGACTGTTGTTCTTCTCCACGTCGTAGCCGCCAGCTGCCAGGGTCTTCTTGAGCGCTGCCAAAGAAAGGCCATTGCGCTCTTTGGAGGCAGCCACAGCCTTAGTGATCAGCTCAGAAACTGGGGGCCCGGTCGCCTTGCGCTTAGCCGCGCCACCGCTCGCGGACTTCTTAGTAGACTTCTTCTTGGCAGGAGATTTCTCCACCGGCGCCGGGGCAGCCGTCTCAGCAGGAGCGGTTTCCGACATGGCGACGGAAGAAACTGCTAGAAGAAGAGAGATTCAAAACCCAAAGAGCAAGTTTTGCAATGCTACCTTGCTCGGGCCCGGGGCTTATATAAGCCGGTGCTGCCCTGTGATTGGTGGAGCGTCCGATCCACCGCCCTCAGGCAGCCGGCTCTCGTGGTTGGACTCCCAAATTGTGTTTGTTAGTCCCAAAATTTGATTAAATGCTAAAAACAGTGGTACAGAATTTGACTCTTTGAAGCTCCAAAGGAGGAAAACAGCCTCCATGTTCACATACTTGTTTGTGTTTTTATGAATCACGCGCAATTAATGAAAGATATTTTTAAAAATCCCTTCAGCTTTTCATATGTGTCCATCGGGCGTAAGGCATCGAGCCAGTTAGTTGCATTGTTGCAATAAATTTTTACTAAGTACCAAGTGAACGTTTTTTAAAAGGTTTTGTCCCTAAGTTCGGCCTTTGATTTTTGCAAGAGGAAAGACACTAGGTTCCGTGGTTTTGCCATAAACTTTGTTTCAAACTGCGGCAAGTAACACAGGCGCAGGACAGCTGGTTGCCTACAGCCCCAAATTAACCATATAGATCTTACTTTAAAAACCGGTTCTGCCTCCCAAGGAGTTTCCACGTGCCACTATCTTTAGAGAATGGGATTTTGCCGCTAGGAAAAGTTCTGTTGCCAAAGTGACTTCTTCCAGGAGGAATAGAAATTGCTTTGGCTACAGGATCCAATGACCTATATTCAAGCAAATTTGGTTTGTTTTTGATTGAGATGCTTTCTCTCTTTAATTCCTAAGCGAATCCAGTAAAATAAGAACAAAGAAAAATGCTTAACCCCGATAATGTATTTTAGAAAAAACCCTGAAACCTGCTAAAAATTATTCAAGGGCTTCCAGTAGCCCTCGAAAGCGCAAACTGTTTAGATGGCATGGGACTTTGTCCCTCTTTCACGGTGCTTTTCCCAATGCTCTCAAACTCCTTACCTCCATCAACATTTAACAAATTACACGGTCAAAACACCTTCTTTTGTAGGACATCAGTGTGGATATTTTTGTGTGTTTAAGTGAAGATAGACCTGTATCTTCCAGTGAAATAACTGGCCACTGACTATAAGTATGGACTGGCTCTTAAGGGACTGGAGGTTATAGAAGTTTAAGAGAATTCAGGAAAACATTAACATCCAAGGGAACTGAGGCAATGACCAGGAAGTGGAATGGAGGATGAAGTTTGCTATTTATTGGGAGGTGGGAGGGGGAGGCATGGACAGGATTTTGTGCCTGGATGGGGTGATGATTAGGGTCTCTCATGCAATCAACAGTTCTCCCCTGTGAAAAACTGTAGGCCAATACACTTCATCTCTTCAGGAGCTCCTGGAGTTGAAACTATAGCCTACTATGGCCAAATCTAGACAGTGGCCTATTTTTGTATGGCCGTCGAGCTGAGTTTTTCTATTTTTAAATTGTATTTTTAAAAAACTGTGACAGACTATATGTTGCCTGCAAAACCTAAAATATTTACTATTTGGCTCTTTTGCTGTTTTGTATTCCTTCTCACAGACAGTTCATGGTGTGTTGCTACAGGCCTGCCTTTCAGAACTATGCAAATCGAGATCTAAAAAGGAGATCTTAACAAGAAAATTTTCCAACCAAGTATTTCCCACTTTTTCAATCACAAAACTTTCAGAAAATTTAGGAGGAGGTTGGGGGAAGTCATGCTTTACAGGAGAGAAGCATAATAAAGAGAGCTAACATTCATTGAGCATTTAACTGCCAGGAACGAATCTAAGCATGCCCTACAAACCAATTCGTCTGCTACATTTTACAGCTGTTCTAGGTGAGTCCCAGAGAGATGAGTAATTTGGCAAAGATTATACAGCTAGTAGTAATTGGCAGCTGTGAGGCTTGAACCTCAACCAGTATTTCTTTCTGCAACAGGAAGGCAAGAGGCACATTTTCTGAAGTCAAGGTGCTAGGGTACTTGGCAAAAACAAAAAAAACCTTCATTTGCCATTTACACAATTATCCACAGAAACCAATAAACTTTCACAAGGTATGGGCCAGTTTTTCTTCAGTCCCTTCGTGTAGCCAAAGGCTTAATGGTTGTATCACTTTAAGTATGCTTCCCCAGAAACAGCTCAATAGGCTGACTAGGATCACAGAATACAGTAACCTCCGTCTGCAGCTTAATCTCCAAATATGCAACACTGAAGTGACACAGTAACAATTGAGCCCACAACAGCTATTTCATCAAAACCCTCCTGTCATTTTTCTTTTGGGGATAATATGTATCCTCTAGAATGAACAGTTCCTTTTTGGAGACAGTTGAGGGGCTCTGAAAAGAGCCTTTTCGGATGAGGTATATTAATAGGAAGCGATGTAAGATTTAAGCCCTTTCCCCGCGGATGCGACGGGCAAGCTGGATGTCCTTGGGCATGATGGTGACGCGCTTGGCGTGGATGGCACACAAGTTGGTGTCCTCGAAGAGCCCCACCAGGTAGGCCTCGCACGCCTCCTGCAGCGCCATCACGGCCGAACTCTGGAAACGCAGGTCGGTCTTGAAGTCCTGCGCGATCTCGCGCACCAGGCGCTGGAACGGCAGCTTGCGGATCAGCAGCTCCGTGGACTTCTGGTAGCGGCGGATCTCGCGCAGGGCCACCGTGCCGGGCCGGTAGCGGTGCGGCTTCTTCACGCCGCCCGTAGCCGGCGCGCTCTTGCGGGCCGCCTTGGTGGCCAGCTGCTTGCGCGGCGCCTTGCCGCCTGTGGACTTGCGAGCGGTCTGCTTCGTGCGAGCCATGCACAAGCAGCGCCAATTTAACAGTAATAACAGGACCCAGTCGTCCCAATATATATAGGGACCCTCGCGTCTTGATTGGACAATAGACTGCTGCCTCCCTTGCCTGCCCCGCCCTTCCCCGCCCACAGAATTGCTTCTAGGCTTATTCCTCAAAGAAAAGGAAGCGTTTTCCCGCTTCTACTTCGGTCATTAGGATAATGTACAGAGGAGATATCTTGTTGGCTTTAAGACTGCGGGATGGGCTTCCCTGGTGGCGCGGTGGTTGGGGATCCGCCTGCCGATGCGGGGGGCGCGGGTTCGTGCCCCGGTCCGGGAGGGTCCCGCGGGCCGTTGCCTCTGGGCCTGCTGCTTCCTGAGCCTGTGCTCTGCGGCGGGAGAGGCCGCGGCGGTGAGAGGCCCGCGTACCGCCAAAAAAAACAAAACAAAAAAGACTGCAGGATGCATAAAAATTCTTAAGGTGTTATCTAGAGAATCTCAAAGTGCCTTGCACTATTTTAAATACAGTACAAGATGTCATGATTGGGTTCTCGACAAATAGTTTACTGAATAACATAAAAGGGAACCAACCAGCTTATGATAAACGGAGGCATTGGAAGTCGAAATCCAGCCATGTTCTATGCCAGTGGTCTCAAACTTCAGCGTGCTTAAGAACCTCTCAGCTTATTAAAACGAGGGTCGGCCAACTTTTTCTGCAAAAAAGGTATGATAGTATTTTAGGCATTACTCGCCATACTGTATCATTACTTTGCCCTTGACATGGGAGTGCGAGCGCAGTCGACATAGGTTAGATGAGCCCGAGCTTACACTAAACCTCTGTAAAAACTGGCAACGAAGCTGAGTTATCAGAGAATTTGCCATTGTACGTGGAAAGGCTGACGAGGGCTTGGGGGCTGCGACAACGCGCAACTTAAGCTCAACTTCAAATTTTTAGCCCCCCCCAACCCAACTGCTCTAGAATACTTAAAATGCACCTTAATGCCTACAGCTCTTCAACAGATTTCGTGGGTGGCCCTCAAAAGGGCCTTTGAGCGACGTTATGATGCTTTGGAACTCTAACCGCCAAAGCCGTACAGAGTGCGTCCCTGGCGCTTGAGCGCGTAGACCACGTCCATAGCAGTGACAGTCTTACGCTTGGCGTGCTCAGTGTACGTAACAGCATCCCGGATCACGTTCTCCAGAAACACCTTTAGCACCCCACGGGTCTCCTCATAGATGAGGCCAGAGATGCGCTTCACCCCGCCACGCCGAGCTAGGCGTCGGATAGCCGGCTTGGTAATCCCCTGGATGTTGTCACGCAGAACCTTGCGGTGGCGCTTGGCACCTCCTTTCCCCAGGCCCTTCCCACCCTTACCACGACCAGACATCTCACCAATTCAATTGAACACGATACTCCAACTCGCAAAGGCGGTGTTTTATGTAGTGGTATATCGGACCTGGTTGGGAACCGCTCAAGCCAGCTGCGTCTCTTCAGGGAGTTTCCAGACCCGAAGCCCCGCCCACGTTTTCAGCAAACTGGAAAGGGCGGTGCTTAAACTACTTGGTCAGAACCGGCGCCTAATGAAAATCCCTCAGCCTAATTTCTACATTGTGTTGCGCTCGCCCGCCCCTGGAAGACTTTTCTTTTGGTTTGGTCAGGCCTTGCTGTCCGTTTTGTTTTGTTTTGTTTTGTTTTCTGCCATCTCTTAGCGACTTGTGGCTGCTGGAATGAATGGCGCATCTCAAGAGCGATGATTGTAGGCATTTGGGAGCTTTTGTGAAACCTCGTGGCTGGCCGCCTGATTATAGATAGCTTCCAGGTGGGGTTTTTTGTCGTTCTCAGCGTCGGTGCTCTCCCCTTTTCCTTACTCATCCTATCACCTTACTTTCCGTTCCCTCACTGGCTGCCACATTTTGGGGGGTAGTACTGGCTTTTTCAAATTTTCTTCATCTCACTTAGAAACACTTCAGGAAGCTGTTTGAGGAAGGTAATCTTTTACCTGTAGTTTCCTTTGGTGAGTCCATGAACAAGTAAAAATGCCTCTCAGGGATTACTGCCCTGCCCCCTCCCCCACCTCGCTTTTCTCCTTTGTTGAACTGAGAAATCAAGTGCACCCAAAAACTCCGTGCCTTTAATTTACAAATACAGTTGCCTTGCCAATGCTTTGCCCTGGAAATATTTATATTCACATCTATGTGTCCCAAAGGTGTGATTCTCTTTGTTAAAATAATTTGTTAAGTCTTTTCTCCCACCTTCATGGAGGAAACAAACTGCAGATTTCTCAGCTTAAAAAGTTTGAGTCTTTTAATAACCTATAATGGAAAAGAATCTGAAAAAGATAGATATCTGTATGTACATAGATATATAGGTATATTTGAATCACCTTGTACACCTGAAACTTACATAAAATTGTAAATCAAATATAATTCAATTAAAAGTTGAGTTTGAGAATGTTATTTAAATTAAGTACTGTTCAAATGCTTCCTTTTTGTCTTTCTCAGCAAATAATGATATTGCCTGATAAATTCTTGTTGAATGATTGGGATAAATATTTAGGAGTTGTTTGTTTGTTTCTCACATTAGGAGAGCTATTCTTTTCTGAGAGAAATGTTGGCAATGCTTTACAGTCCATAGAATTCCTTTCCCCTTCAATCAGATGAATAAATGAGGTAGGTATACTTGCCTTTCCAATGTTCTGAGGGTTGCTACTGATTCACACTTGTCTGGTTGACAATTCTTAATGTTCTTAGTTCCAAGTGTTGGGCTCAATCCTTTTCATTATTACTGTATTTTCAATTTGATGTGCCACACGTTTATTTTCTTGACACTTGATTTTGTTTTCTCTGTTTTGGTTAAACCTTTGGAATTAGCTGGTAGATTGTGTTTATATCTCTTGCTTTTCTTTTTTGTTTTTAATTTTTTTCTCTTTTATTGTTCTTTAATTGTTCTTCGTTCAAAATTAGTTTACTGACTAGTAACTAGTACCTTTCCTAATTCTCATTTCTCCTGTCCAAAACACACACACACACACTAATCCAAAACACCACTAGCCATTTGGAGTCTTTTCAACTCCATGAACTTAACCTCTCAAATATTTCCTTCCATTCCATACAGTCTTATTTCTTCACATAGATTGGTCTTTTACCAAGTCAGAACCTTAATTTGCAAAAAACCTTTAAGAAACCCCTTACTTTCTCCTGAAACTCTCTCAAAACCTAAATGTATTCTCTAATATACACAGCTTTTCATGCCTAACACTCCCTCCTTGTTTTGTATAATGTCCTACCTTGTTTCCAAAATTTTATAATACCGTGGTCTTTATAGTCCTTTCTAAGTGTCTCCTAATTTAGCTAGTTATCATGCCTGAAATATATCAAACAGTAGCTGCCAGAAACTCTGATTCCCTTTCATTCACTTCAACTTACTAGCATCTGCAGGGTTGGATACTGAGAAAACAAGAATCAAAATGAAGGTGTGGGTCCTTTGGGGTAGGGGTCCTCTACTGCCTCGCCCTCTTGGGTTTACAACAGGGACAGAGGCTAAGAACACAGTTCCTAAGCTTCTAATCTTTAAAAACAGACTGGTTTCAATAGACTGAATGTTTCTGTTCCCCCAGAATTCATATATTGAAAACTAATCTCTAATGTGAGGGTATTGGGTATTTGGAAGTAGGGTTATTGGGAGGTGCTTAGGTCATAAGTGGAGGGCCCTCATGATTGCAATTAGTGCCTCTATAAAAGAGACACCATTGTCTCTTCCACACTGAGAAAATAGCCATCTATGAATTAGGAAGTAGGCTCTTACCAGACACTGAATCTGACAGCACCTTGATCTTGGACTTCCCAGTCTCCGGAACTGTGAGAAATACATTTCTATTGTTTATAAGACACCTAGTCTATGGTATTCTGTTACAGCAGCCTGAGCAGACTAAGACACTGGTACTCTGCAAGTCATGCTTTAAAATAGTACTCAGATTTTTTGCCTTTGGTTTTGGTGGTTATTCTGGATTTGCTTGTTTGTTTGTTGTTGTTGGTGGTTGTTTTTTAAAATAAAGCTAGAAAATGCTGTTGGAGATCCTGGCGCAGGTGTGCCCAGGTATGGACTGATTCTTGGGTTCAGCTCTTATTTTTGCCATTTATTTGTTTCTTGATCTCAGAAGAAAGAGAGAATTTCTTTTTATGTGCCCACTATATTTTATTTATTCCCTTGTATTAGAGCAGTGAAGTCTGTCAGATAACTCCTAACTCTTCTTGTTTTTTCTCTTGCATCTGTTATTTATTATTGTGTAGTGAATTACCAGAAAAGTTAGTAGCTTAAAACAACAAATGTATTATCTCACACAGTTTCTGAAGGTCAGGAATTAGAGAGTAGTTTAGTTGGGTGGTTCAGGTTCAGGATCTCCCAAGAAGTGAAAAATCAAGCTGTCAGCAGAGGCTGCAGTTACATGAGGTTTGACTGGGCCTGAGATGGCTCACTCACACGGCTGTTGGTAGCTGCCCACTGACTGTTGGAGAATGCATCAGCTTCTTATCGTGCCGGCGTCTCCACAGGGCTGCCTGAATATCTTCTCAACATGGCGGCTGGGGCTCCCCCACCCCACCCCCAGCAAATGACCTGAGAGAGAGCAAGCAGGAAACACAGCACCTTTTATGACTTAGTCTCCAAAGTACTCATTGTCACTTTGGCTTTATGCCACACCAGTCTCTAAATCCAGCTCACATTCAAGGGGAGAAGAATTAGGTTCCTTTTTGTTTTTTCTTGGCCGCGCTGCGCGGCTTGCGGGATCTTATTTCCCCAACCAGGGATCGAATCCACACCCTCATCAGTGAAAGTGTGGGCTCCTAATCACTGGACCGCCAGGGAATTCCCTAGTTTCCATTTTTTGAAGGGAAGATTATCAAAGAATTTTTGGATATTTCCTAAAACCACCTTTTCTACAATCAAATTTAGGCTTCAAATAGAACATGTCCTCATTGACCCATAGTACACTTCTGAGATCTTAAGTTCAGATCTCAAAAGACTCCCAAATCCCAGCAGATGTCCTTGCTGAGGAGAACTTCTGCCTTTCCACTTAAAAGAAATCAGGCTTTTCTGCCCAGTTCTTTCTTTTTTTTTTTTTTTTAAACGATTTCTCCTCCTTTATTTTCCTACAGTCATTGGAGGCTTACCCAGATCTCGTCCCCTTTCAGGGTTTGTTGAAAGAATCCCAAACAGATTTCCTGGCTTTGTCCTCCCAATACTTGGCTACCTTTAGAAAAGACAGACTTTTCTAGAGCTAGTGAAGGATTAATATGTGCCTCATCTAAACCCGGGGAGCTATTACCAAGTTCACATATGAAAAGACATGTGAAAATACTTTGGAAACTATAAAGCTTTATATAATTGTTGTCATCAGTATTATATCTACTCCCCATAGAATTCAAAAAGAATCTGTGATGAAATGTGTAATGCAGAAGGTGGGAAGCACTCAGTGACTGAGGCTATCTTGTGTCTACAAGGTTGCTTATCAGCAATACATTCATTCAACTAGAGTTTAATGAGCACCTGCCCGTGTCAGGCTTTTTCTATTCTGGAGAAACAACAGTGAACACGAAAAAATCTTTGGCCTTATATGTATATGGTGAGAAAAAAGGGGCAAAATTCGACTTTTAAAACAGGTTCACACAGAGTTGGGAGACTACGCTTCTGGAGCTAGTATTTCATACTTGTAAGTGTGACCTCATGTAAGGGATAAGGAGACACGGGGAAGTCCACACGCGGTGTGGGGGGTATTACTGTCCCAAACGGGCTCACTGTGGCTTCTGCCTCAGGGAAGTCACCAGATGTTGATGGCATGCACGGTACCTATGGATTGCTCCTCGTGCACATCTGCATTAGGAGGCTCCTGAAAGCTGTCAAACAAAAAACAGTTAATTTGTTAATTTTACAGTATCAAATCTTGGAATGGGTGTGAAGGAGAGAAAACAGTTCAGAGCTTTATCCCGTAGGGTTACCAGGTGGTACTACTAAACAGCTAGAAATGCAATTCTCATGAGAACACAAATGCTTAGTTTGAACACCCTGTAGCTTCAGCCAGATTTTCTTTCCTTTTGGAGTTGTATAAAAGAAACTGAATTAGTACATTAGAAGTCTGCCCACTATCGTTAGATCCCGGGCAAACCACCAACATTGTCTGGCTTAATCGAGATGTACTCTGCCCCTCCTGGGACCCTGAACAGTTTAAATCAATAATTGATTAGGGCATGGAAAGTGCTTGTCCTTCCATGCACTGCCAATACATCACAGACAGTCAGCCAGAACTCCACACCCCGACTATATCCGAAGTGGAGGGACTGGCTAGTATTTATGCTCTGAATCCCGGTTTACTTGGTTGAGAGTTCTTTTGTTGACTGATTCCTTCTAGTGAAATCTTTGATTACTCAGGGTCCAGGTGACCTTATTGCTGGAGACACTGTTGCCCTTATAAGCTGCTGTTCAGCAAGTCCTTTTAGATAGCTAAGAAAATGAACAGGGCATGTGTAGCCTTGGCAAGTATTCTGTATACCTATTTTGCATGACAAATATGTAGTTCCTGAAAGAAACCCTTCTCTCCCATTTTCTAAATGCCCATCCTAGTATAACAGCTACTCTCAATGAGAACTGAAGTGGCTCTTAAAAGAGCCTTTGGAAGGAAGCAAATGCGCCCAAGGCGGATTAGAAAGGACAGTTTATGCTCTCTCCCCACGGATGCGGCGCGCAAGCTGGATGTCCTTGGGCATAATAGTGACACGCTTGGCGTGGATGGCACACAAGTTGGTGTCCTCGAAGAGCCCCACCAGGTAGGCCTCGCACGCCTCCTGGAGCGCCATCACGGCCGAACTCTGGAAGCGCAGATCAGTCTTGAAGTCCTGCGCGATCTCGCGCACCAGGCGCTGGAACGGTAGCTTGCGGATCAGCAGCTCCGTGGACTTCTGATAGCGGCGGATCTCGCGCAGGGCCACCGTGCCGGGCCGGTAGCGGTGCGGCTTCTTCACGCCGCCCGTAGCCGGCGCGCTCTTGCGGGCCGCTTTGGTGGCCAGCTGCTTACGTGGCGCCTTGCCGCCGGTGGACTTGCGAGCTGTCTGCTTGGTCCTAGCCATGCTTCTGTGCTAATGCCGCGAGAGAAGCAACTGAGCGCTTCCAGGACCAGACTTTATACAGATGATCCGATCCTGATTGGCCAGAACTTTGCGGGAGTAACCTGATTGGCTTTTAATTCAATCCTCATTTGGTTTTTACCGCCTCTGAAAAGGTTTTGTTGTCCATACTATTTTGTGATTTCTATTTTCGCAGGAAAGAATTATGGTCGTACTCCATCCTGAGTTTATGGTTTTCGACCAAAACGTTAAGACTCCAGTAAAAAAGGAGTCTGGTTCAGAATTTGTGGAAGTCAGCGCCTAAACTGTCCTAAAAGAAATGCACTTTTTCATTGGAGACTTTTTTCCTTTTCAGATAATGTAGGGGAAAATTACAGCAAAATAATGTATTTGTTAGTCTCTCTAAATAGTAGTTATATTTCATAATTGCATCAGGATCTATTTTTAATGAGTGTACCAAGACCTAAAATAAAGTTTCAGAATAGACTCTGGCACACCGGCCTCCTGAACACAGAACTTTGCCCAGCGTGGTGTGGGGTAGGGGGAGCTTGATGTGTGCTTGATTAAATACTAGTAAATGACTATGACTTCATTAATTGATTTTGATGCAATCAAATGGCTGATTGGACTTTAATATGTAAACTGTGTACTTAGCAGGCCTGGAGTAATGATACATTTACATTGATCAGTGATTAGGTGTTTTCCTGTAAATAGGGGTAGCTCTGAAAGGAGCTTTCGAGTAGGGGCAGTTTTAACTAATGGACCATCGGGTGTTAACGATAAAGACCCAGAAACAAGACAAAATTGGTTTAATATTTAACATTTGCTGGAACAAATAATCACCGGAAATGTGTTCCTGGGGAGGGGACAATAAATGCGGCCGCTTTCATGGTTTTACAAGAGTAAACTGCAAACTAGGTTTTACCAGATGAGTTAACGCATGCTCGGTCAAGTCAATAGGACTACATAATAGGTTTCAGGACAGTGTTCAGTTCTTCCACATAAGTTGTGGGTGGCTCTGAAAAGAGCCTTTGTTCTTAGAGATTGGAGTATTAATTCAGACCTTACTTGCCCTTGGCCTTGTGGTGGCTCTCAGTCTTCTTGGGCAGCAGCACCGCCTGGATGTTGGGCAGGACGCCGCCCTGAGCGATGGTGACTTTGCCCAGCAGCTTGTTGAGCTCCTCGTCGTTACGGATGGCCAGCTGCAGGTGGCGCGGGATGATGCGCGTCTTCTTATTGTCGCGGGCCGCGTTGCCCGCCAGCTCCAGGATCTCGGCCGTCAGGTACTCCAGTACCGCGGCCAGATACACCGGCGCGCCGGCCCCGACCCGCTCGGCGTAGTTGCCTTTGCGGAGCAGGCGGTGCACTCGGCCTACGGGAAACTGGAGCCCGGCCCGCGAGGAGCGAGTCTTGGCCTTGGCGCGAGCTTTGCCGCCTTGCTTACCACGTCCAGACATAGTGCAAAGCTTATGCACCTACGCCAAAAAAGACTAAAGAGAAAGAAAAACCCACAACTTATAACCGCAGCTGCGCGCGAAAAAGAAGCTATTCCATTGGCCAGAGTTGCTGTCCCATTTTAAACAAGACAAATGCAGTTCCTAATAATGCGTGTTCTGATTGGACAATATTGAAAAACGTCATCACTAATATTCGCCAATCCGACGAAGAACTTTACTAAACCTTATTTGCATATGGATTTGTAAATAAAATGGACTCGACCGTTTCACTATTCTCTCTGCTTCTCGGGAATCTTGTAATTTTTTTCATCATGCCTGAGTCGGCTAAATCCGCCCCGGCTCCGAAGAAGGGGTCCAAGAAAGCGGTGACCAAGGCACAGAAGAAAGATGGCAAGAAGCGCAAGCGCAGCCGCAAGGAGAGCTACTCTATCTACGTGTACAAAGTGCTGAAGCAGGTCCACCCGGACACCGGCATCTCGTCCAAGGCCATGGGCATCATGAACTCGTTTGTCAACGACATTTTCGAGCGCATCGCGGGCGAGTCGTCGCGCCTGGCGCATTACAACAAGCGTTCGACCATCACCTCCAGGGAGATCCAGACGGCCGTGCGCCTGCTGCTGCCCGGGGAGCTGGCCAAGCACGCCGTGTCCGAGGGCACTAAGGCCGTCACCAAGTACACCAGCTCCAAGTGAGCCAGCCCGCTGCCACACATGACCCAAAGGCTCTTTTCAGAGCCACCTACACTTTCAGAGAAATAGCTGGTGCACTTGCCTGTAGTCTAGTTTCTCTCGGGAGAGTAGGGGGTTGGTTTGGGAGCGGAAAACGGGGTAAAAACTTAAAAAGCCCTCCGTAAACATTCTAGTATACGCATTTATGCAGTGTCATGCAAATTTAGTGTGGATTCTTTGGCGTCCTTTGAAAAAGATTTTCAGTTTTGCCTTCAGCTGCAATAGCCAAAATTTCGCTTTTGTTTACACTTTTTCAACGCAAGGAACGCTCCCCGTCTCTGATTGGGCAGAAGCACTATTTGAAAAGCCCGCCGTGGGCTGCAATTGGCCAGATAGTCTGCCATCAGGGTTGTGCGTTTTGAAGAGATTTTCTCGAAAGTAAAAGGATGACTTGCTTTATCTGCGGAAATGCACCGGGCTCTGGAGCCAAGAGCCATAAAGCTGACAGTTAACGGTACTGTGTTCTGCAGTCGGATCCTGGGCGAAATTAACCTCTCGGTGTCTATCTCTCATCCACCACAGAATGGGTACGGTAACATTAGACCTGTCTATCCTACGGAGATCTTAGGGTGAGTTGAAGTGATTTATGTCAAAGTGCAACTGGAATATTAAAGGTCAGGGACGTTCCTTAAGGAGAAAAGGTTGAACAAGGAACCCAGCAATTTGGGAAAGCCGCGTTCTTCCAATGTTTAATCGATGTGCCGGAAGGAGATATGTCAGGACTCGCTAGGCCGGGGGAGTAGTTATCTGGCAGTGACTTTAGAGTCCACGATTTAAAATCCCGCGATAGAAGTCAGAGAACTCAGTATTTAAGAGAAGGGCGTATTTACTTAACGCATGGGCTAACTAGGAATATTAGGGAATGGAGTCTCAAGGCATGATCGAAAGTCCTTCAATTCCCCCCTCCCCTGCACCTTTCAACAATGCCTAAATTATTTTTTTTTGCAGTTGGAAGCATTAACATTTTCCTCTACCCTGTCATCCCCTCTCACCAGTAAATGACTGCTATTGTAAATCTTTTTTTCCCCCATTAACAGCAAAATAAGCCCCTACTACCACATCCCCCTTCCAGGCTGTAACATTTCCTGTCTTTCCCTATTGTCACTTTCCTTAAAGTTGTAGGTATAGACCCTATGTCAGACGAACAGTCTTGTCCCTGTCACAGACAACAAGCCTCCAGGAATTCATGCCAACAGGTCAATGGGTCTGAAAAATATACGGGTTTGTCATTCACTCCTCTAAGATGAGATTCTTGTTCCAGTCCCTGCGCCCCTGTCATTAGGTCTTGGGAGTTGGCGACAAAACCCACCGACAAGCTACCCTACTTGGTGGAGAGCAGTCCCCTAATTTCATCCTGAACTCATCAGCATCATATTCATCCCCTCTTTCTATTTTTTGCTTTTTCCGAGATTTTTTTCTTCCACTTTTAAGAGATCAGAGGGATAATTACCTTCAGAGTGGGTGAAATAAGAAGTATTGCCATCTTGTGGCAAGAAAACAGAAGGACCGATCCAAGGCGTCGTGTTTTCCAGATCCAACTGAAATGCTTCCTAACTTCAACTTTTTACTAACAGTGAGTTAGGATGAGTAGAGTGATCATTTCTGTCTCCCTTTAACCGCCGGGTTTGTTAGTCACTTCAAGAATCACTTGTGCGCATGTGAGAGAGGGAGAGAGGTATTGTTTTGTGCTCTGGTCAGAGCTGTGGAAATAAAAAGGAATAAAATTTAAAAAAAGAAATCAAAATATTATGCACCCTAAAATAAATAAAAAATAATAGGGTCCTGCTCATCCTAGTTCTGGTCCTCAAACTAATAAATACTTGAATGTTTTCTGTAAACCTAAACACCTGACAGAACAATGATACCCTGATTTTTGCTAGACTGCTCTTTGAAGATGTGTCAGGACTTGTCAGGATAATAATTACCATGTGAGTTGCAATTTTTCCACCATGAACAGGCCAGTGTGCACGTGGTAACCTCAGTCATTTTGCAGGTCCCCCCTCCAACACACGCCATTTTAAATACTTGTGTGTGTGTGTGTGTTTTCCTCAAAGTCTGACTCTTGACCTCTTTGCAGGTAGACTTTTTTTTTCCTTTCCAAACGTTTCTGTCTCTTAGTCCTGCTTTGACAGTTTCTACTGCCTAAGTCCAAACAAACATCCTATTAAAATGCTTGTATTAGTTTGCTAGCACTGCCACAACAAAACACCACACACTGGGTGTCTTAAACAACAAAAATTTATTTTCTCACAGTTCTGGAGGCTAGAAGTCCAAGGTTAAGGTGTTGGCAGGACTGGTTTCCCTCCTTGGCTTGCAGCTGGCTGTCTTGCTGTGTCCTCACATACTCTTTTTTTCTGTGTGTCTGCACCCCTGGAGTCATTTCCTTTTCTTATAAAGATACCAGGGCTTTCGGATTAGGACCCTACCCTAATGATCTCATTTAACCTTAATTACCTCTTTAAAGGCCCTATCTCCAAATATAGTTACTTTGGGGTTAGGGCTCAAAACAAAGGAATTTTGAGGGAACACGATTGGGTCCATAACAGCATTTAGGCCATTTTTTCCATGCTTTGATCCCAACTTTCTATTCCAAATTGTCTTTCATAAAATGTTTACATTTAGCTTTAACTGCAGCTAAAGAGACAGTTGTGATATACCCTAAACCAGAGGTTAAAAGTCAAAAGCTCATGGGGGCCTAGCAGATAAAAGCAAAACTGGCTACAAGGTGCTCTTTGCTATTTTTCTTGAAGTACAAAGACTTCTGACACTGTATTTCACCTTCCCAGTTTTAGTAGCATATTTCACTGTTCTCTTAATACTACCCTGCGAACAACCACAGCACAAGGATGTTGATAAATGCCACCTCACACTTGGAAACTAAGGGGACCAGTGGGAACTGCAGAAAACTGAAGGCTACAGAGCCTATACACTATGATTTCACTTGACTGTTGCCTCGTGGGGCTGCAGGCTCAGGGTCAGTGAGTCTTTCAATTTTTTCAAGAGGATTTGCATTTTAATAAGGAATACTTCAAATTTTCCAAATTGGCAATTGTCAACAAAAAAATTAATCGGTCAATGTAAGAAAGAAATGGAAACTTTTATTCAAGCCAAATTGTGGCTGATAACCCAGGAACAGTCTCTCAGAAAGTTCTGAGAACTGTTCCACCCGTTAAAGATCAAAGCACAGTTAAGTTTTTGAGACTGAGACCTGTACATACAATGATGTGTTATTGACAGTTTACACAATCCAGATCTATGCATACAAATCAAGTAGTGGGTCAGGGCCATCATGGCCCCTTATGAGATTACAACGGAAGGTTATCTCCTAAGGAATAGTGACCCTGATGAGATTAATAAGGAATGTTATCTCCTAGGGAGATCTGGTTAATACAGATGTACAACACACACTAAAGGGGAGGGAGGAGGCCCAAATAGGCAAAGAAAAATTTTATGTTTAAAATTTTCTTGTCTTGCCATAAAATATGAATTTTATTTCATCACAACTAATAAAAAATGTATAATAGTGTGGACTAAACAAAAAATACCTGAAAGCTTCCTGAAAACCTTAATCCCACAGCTGGAGAACTCTGGACGTTAACAGAGATTTCTGTGTCCATGTCAAGCTGTCCAGTATACTCTCCATACCACCAAAACCCAGATCAAATGCCTGGATCTCCCTATCCTCCTAAATCCTCAACTGAAAAGAATCTGTTTCGCACTTGGCAGCTCTAGACAGAGCAGAGGGTCACACACACAGCAGGCATTCAACAGCTTTTTTTTTTTTTTTTTGGCAATTTAAGTAAATGGATAAAAAAGTGAACTAAACAAATAATAAAAAAATTTCAGCTCCCTACCAACAATGAGGTAAAAGTGGTGAAAGTTGTTTGGAATAGTTTATTGTAGATTAAATAGTTAATAAATAAACTCATTCTTTTCTAATTATGTTATATTTGTCTTACTGTGATGTATTCTCCTCTACCTATTTTTCTTTGTTCCTTTCAAATTTTTCTCCTTTTTTAATTTTTTTTAGTAACTGTTCTTATTTCTCCTGTCTTACAATGAATAAAATGAAAGGGGAAGGTAGAGGCGGTAAGGATCTTAGCGGAAGCTCCACCTCTTCCCTTCCTGGTTCCACTGCCTTCTGTAAATGGCCCACCCTTGTTCCCTGAACCCAGCTTGACCCTCTCTCTCCTTTAGCTCCTTGTTTCCTCTATTTACATGAGGCACAGACTCAAATTCTGTTGAAATCAGCTCTCTAGTGAATCACTGATTTCTTTTACTATTTTTTTACTTTATTTCCACGCATATGGGAGAAGTAGGAAAAACCAACTGTCTTCTTCTGATTAACAAAGATAAAGATCTTGAGGAAAAAAGGAGCTGCCAATTAGCAGCTTATTACTAGGGCAAGACATTTTCTTTGCGAAAGACAATCACTTACAGACTTTTACAATTTAAATGTTACTTCGTAGTAACGTGGGTCATAGTAACAATCTCTGAGGTCAATGTCTTTGAACATCATCAGAAATAGCCGTTTTAGGAAGCCCTACAGGATCTGTTCCTCTCTCCAGCACTAAAAACTGTGTTTTCAAGGCTAGATCCTGGAATTCCACTGGTCAGTATAGCAATAAAAGCAGGCCTGAGAATGAAAACTTGGCATCGGAGAAGTAAAAGGGGAAAGGAAGATTATTAACAGAATGTGTATGAGTTGTCAGAATAAGTTACCAAACTTGGAAGTGTGTGAATGGGATCTGTGGACAAAAATTGTCACCTGCCATATCAGTAAACGAAGGATTTTTACCGCAGCCATCAAGCCATCAGCCACTGCCACGCACTGACTGTGCACCCTGAGGGGCTTCAGGATGGAGAAAAGCAGGATACTGGCCCTAGGTAGTTAAGATACATATCAAAGGAATGATTTCAATGAGCCCAGACTCTTGCATCTTCCCACACATAAAAACGCGCTAAATTCATTAACTTGTGATGTCTGGTTTTCTTTAATTAGCAG